CCCTCAGCTGGAGCGGTGGGAGGGCACCGTGCATCTGCCCCCCGGTTAAGGCGGGCGGGCAGACTCCGCGGACAATGCGCCTCCTCCCGCGACCTGGTAGGAGCATAGAAACCAGGGCTGAAGGGACCTCCGGAGGGCACGTCTCGTCCAAGGGATTGAAGATCGCTTCAGGCTAGACATGAGGGGGAAAAATACTTCTTTACTAGCCGACGGTTCGGAACAGAGGTGGTACAGTCACCCGCCCCGGCCATCTAGTCTTTCCTGCCTGCGGGCCCATGATCTGCAAGGTCCCTTCCAGCCCCGAAACCCCCTGCTCCGAGCAGCACCAGCCCCAGCCCCAGCCCCAGCCCCAGCCCCAGCTAGATCATCGCAGCCAAGGCTTTGTTGCCTGCGTGTTAAAAACCTCCCGGGATGGAGCTGCCACCCCCTCTCTAGGCAACCCCTCCAGTGCTTCACCACCCTGCTAGTGAAAAAGTTTTTCCTTGTATCCAACCTAAACATCCCTTGCTGCAACTTGAGACCATTGCTCCTTGTTCTGCCGTCTGGCACCGCTGAGAACAGTCCAGCTCCATCCTCTTTGGGACCCCACTTCCAGTAGTTGAAGGCTACTATTAAATCCCCCTCCCCCCCCACTTCCCCTCAGTCCTCTCCTCTCCAGACTAAATAAGCCCAGTTCCTTCAGCCTCTTCTCGGAAGTCAATGAGTGAGGCCAGAGGGCAGGCTTTCTTAGGGTGAGGTCTTTTAACAGCCCAGCTGGGGAGCTGGGATAAAGTTAGACCAGCTTTGAAATGTGAGGCATCCAGGAGACCTGATGAAGAAAGACTTGCGTTCCAAACCTGGCCTAACTCTATCCCAACTCCATAGTTGGTCCAAGAAAAGATCTCACCCTAAGAAATCCTTGTTTCCACTCTTTCTAACCCCAGCATTTACCTACTCCCATATTGATCAATGGCCAGGACCTGGTTTTGCTTTTGAAGGGAAGTGTTTAAGTAGACAACCTCCACCCGAGGAATTGCCTTCCTTATGCCGATAATATGATTGAAGTTGGTTGGGATCGTTCCCTGAACAGCCAGCAGGAGGTGCTGGTTGGGATACGTAGTTGGTGAGCAAATTCTGGATGTTAGGGTTAGATAATAATTCTGAGGTCATGCCCCCTCTATGATGCAATCTTGAATCCTTTACAAATAGGATCTGCGATTTACAGGTGGTAGTGTGTTGACCTAGACAGAATTGTGCTGCAAATGATATAAATCATTGCTGCAAATCACTGTATCATTATATCTGAATGTATGTCACCTCTTTATTACTTGTCACATTTTATTCCTCAGCAGTTGTTTTTATTGACATTGCTGATGCTTTTACCTGCCATAGGAATGTGTAGAGTTCCAAAGGCTCTTTTAAAAGTTGTATTCCTCCTATGACATTTATTTTAAATGCAATTCAAGTTGAAAAGTGCTTCATCTTTTATAATCTATTCTTTGCCCTGCATACCATACTTCATTTAATTTCCAAGATTCTTTCTATTCAATAACCTGAAAAGAATATCTGTTGGCACCACTTCCCCTTTTCTTATATTATTTTTGTTGGCATAATACCTAGAAAACTGTTGGAAAGGAAATGTCTTTAGTATTTATAATGCAGGCTCAGTGTCATGCTGACTGAATTGTCAGAAGGCTGGTTAAACAGGTAAAGTTATGAAAGATGTTTTGAATTAGAAGAATACTTTCAGTTTGGAAACTTTATATCATGGCACTGTTAATGTTACTTTCTTCCATATCTTTAGCTCTTTGCTTTGACGAGGCCTTTAATGCAAAGAGAAAGTTGAGATTACTGCAAGAAAATTTGGAAACTAAGAGAAGGAAGGGCATGGGGAATCAGAGAGGCAGAGAAAGAAATAAACATGGCTTCTTTAAAGCCAACGTTAAAGCAGTTGAGAGCTCCTGTCTGACGTATATGAACGTGCTATTCAGAAGAATTCCAAAAGGCAATGTGATGTTGTCCAAAAGCCATGAGGCCAAGAAAAATAACCATTTATTGAAGGCTTTTCCTTCAATAAATGCCAGCACATTCATTTTACATTTGTTGTAACTATATTTTTTTAAGTTTATTTGAGCAATCCAAGACATTGTTCTTCAGCAGATGTTTGTTGTCTGAACATGGTTTGTAGCTAAAGCCATTCAATTCTAGACAGAGAGTGTGGATTAACATTTACTTATGATCTGACAAACCTTTTTTTGCTCTTAAATTGAACACTACCAGGGTGTGCCTGACAAATTACACATATTTTCTCATCATCTGGAAAAGATTCTTTAAAAAAGTAAATAGAGAAAAGTTTGGCTCTGTATACATATTCATCCCTTTTCATTCTCCCCTCTTAAAATTGTCATTTGTGGGTAAAGTAAATGGCTACATATGGAGAGGAAGGAGACTTGGAATGTAGGGAGTGTTTCATCGGACTCCTTTTTCAAGTTTTTTGTTGCTACTTGGAGTATAGGAAAAGGTGGGTTCCAGTGTTAATAATTGTGTTACAAATATAATCGTGTAATGCAGTGTGCCCTTCTATGGACAGAAGTAGGAGGGATGAATATTTCTTAGGCCTCAGTTCTACAAGTACCGAATATCTCTTCTGAGATGTTAGGGCCCATCATCACTCAGTGGGAATCTTAATTAACACCTTGCAGGACAGACATGATACACAACAGACCAGCTCCTGTCCATATTGAACCCAGCAGTCTTGAATCTGACAGTATTAGATTCAGATCTTTGACCTCTATGCAGTCCATTGAACCATTACAGAATCGTACTGAGGCCACAAAGAGTAGCAGTCGGGTAGCATCGTTATGTTAGCACTACACTGCTCTCTCTATTCTCAGCTTAAGGGATATGAGCATGAAAGGTTTGGCTGAAGGAGGAGGCTGAATACCAGCTCACACAGCCACATTATGTAGTGCTATGCTACTTCTTCAGTTCTTAGCATTGAAAGCATGAAGGTCAGAGGAGGATGCATGACCAGAACATGGCTGTGTCTTGGTGTTCCCTGTCTAACTTGATTAGCACTGGTGCCAGGAAAAGTAACAATAAGTCTGCTCTGATTTGCTTTGGTGGGGACCAGTTGGCTTCCAGGAGTACAAAAGTTTTGGAGAAGGTAGAGTACAACCATATTTGTCTGCCTGCTTCCCCTCCCTCACGATTTTTGATCCTTTTAAGATTCCAGGATCAGGCTTATAGTTTGTAAATAAAGTATCTAATTGGGATTAAGAGATTTTTGTAGAATAAATTTGAAACTAGAGGGCAGCACTGACAAAAAGGTGTCCCATAAAATGCTCTGGGATGGTAACAGTGTCTAATTAAGATAGTATTCAGGCAACTGAATTAACTAAGCTAACAGACTGTATTGTTCCATTGGTTCTCAAGAATGGAGAGCTTTGCTTAAAGTCAATGTTAAAGTGTGGTAAAAAAAATTCTTTGGAATGTTGATGTGAAAATGTGATACTTTTCAAGCATTTTCCTAAAATATTTATTACATTATTATAAATATGAACATTAAAAGTTTGTTAGTAAGATTCATATTCTGTGAGTCCTGTTAAATAACTCTATGTGTAGAGCATTTTGGTGCCATCTGTCTTGTTGAAGGATGCTTTTAAAACTCTGCTCGCTGTACTGCCTATCCAATAGACTGTCCAAATAGACTTTTATTGTGATCATATCTCTTAATTATATTAAAATATATTTAATTATATTTTAACATATAAAAGGTAGTTAACAATGGAAGATCTCCTATGTATTTTCTGCTGATTGAGTAGTCCTTATCTTTAGATGGTGGAAATTTGCAGAGCTTCCTTGTCTTTAATAGTAAATGCCACATAATACTACATAACGTGATCGTTCTGTCCACAAGATAGTTATTATTAAGGTATTTATTTTGTTGTGTTGAGCATTCTTAAGTTACTGAAGCACTAAGTAGGATTCTATTATACATCCATCATCTACTCATTTTAATCATTAAGCGAGAGGCATTGTTGATAAATAGTATCTTCTGTGGTCATCTGTAAGTATGTATTGTATGACAGAGAACACTGAGAATGAACAATTCAGATAGTTTCAGTGCTACACAATGTGAATTACAGTTGTAATGAACTGCTTAGGATAAAGTTGTTCTGTTTAAAAATTATAACTTTTGGGAACTTCAGAAGAAACTATTGACAATCTCAGGTCAAAATGATTTGCTTTTATCTTTAATGAAAAAATGACAAATCCCCAAGTTGCAGTGGTGTTTACTGAATAATATAGCTAACTAATATAGTACCCACCACTATTGCAACTAAAAGTACATTTCCAAAAAGATTTGTAGGGGTATGCTTATAAAGCACAATGTAGATCATTTAAGTGCCTAAATGTGAGAACTGCATGAAGCTGTCTTAGTAATAGTAAATTTGCCAAAGAATGCAGTGCTGATTGTTACAGATTTGTTCATGAATTTAACCAATTTGTCAAATAGTTTTGACTAGAAAAGTGAGGGGCTAGGAGGAAGGTTGAGGTGGATGGTTGTGCCCACCCCTGCCTGACTCCCATACCCTTTATCCAGTGATTCTGTGGGCATGTATACACATGCACACTTACTAAGCAGTAACCAAAATTACTGCACAGTAAGCAAAATTTACTGGACAGTACAGGCAGCATCTACACGTGCATGGTCATACTGTGCAGTTAATATGGCAACTTATGCCAACTTGGGTGTAAATTTGATACCTGCATCATGCAGGTCTCAAATTTATGCCCGATTAATTACTGCACAGTACCACACACATAGACACCTTACTGAACAGTAACACTATGTATGTGGACTGACTTGGGACTAACTTTAGTCCCAAGTTAGTCCACATACAACATTACTGCGCTTTAACATCTGCACATGTAGATGCCAGCCTAAACCCACTTACTGTGCAGTAAGTTACTGTGCAGTAAATTTAATGCACAGTAAATGCACATGTAGACATGCCCAGTGGGTCTCAAAATGTTCACACGAGGTATAGATGTTGTTTCAAGTCCCAGTGCTTGAAAGTATTTGAAACCACAGGTCTCATGTCCCAGAAGAGTGTTCTAATCGTAGGACTGTAGGACATCCGGGGGTAGGTGGAGATGGGGTGTCTCAGTTTCTTCTATTGATACTGCACCACTTTGTAAAAAAAAAAAAATTGAACTTTCATTAGAGCAGGGCCTCTGGAATCAGGTTGTCCCACCTCCCATAGAAGGGTGCTACCTACAACCTTTGGGGTACTTTGGACTAGGTCTTCCTCACTCCCTCTTGTTGGAGGTGTTCCACTTTGTATAAAATCATTAGTGTAACTAAGGTGGGGAGATCAGGGCAGCAGGCTTAGGTACCAACCTGAGAGGCATGGAAAAAAAGCAGCTGCTACCATAACCATATAATCACACTGGAAGTCACTGCTGCCTCCATGCAGCCCAGCTGCCTTGGGTGTCAGCTGACTTGTTACTCCTCTGTATAGAGTAAATAACTATTAATGGAGTCAGAGAGAGAATGACTCTCTAGCCTGGTGATTTGGATATTCCCGTGTACAGTGGGATACCTACACTTCAGCCCCTGCTCTGATGCACATTTAATTATCTATGCAATGTGGAACAACTTTAGCAATAAAGCTCCCATCCTGACCAACAATAAAGCTCCCATCCCATCATCCCTAAATAATCAGTGGCAGGGAGGTGGAAAAACTGAGTTCAAATCTCCTCAGCCAGAAAAATAAATTTGACTTATGTCTTCAACATGCTGCATGATTTCGATAACCACCAAGCTATTGAATTAAGGTGGAGGGAAAGGGTTACCTTCAGCAGGTTGTGATTCCAGCCTTTCCTTTGCTTTTCTTATCAGTGACCACAAACCAGAAGTTTCATTTTGGGTCAAATAAAAAGTTTCATTCAATGCAAAACATTTTCTTTATTTATTCTGGCAAGAGAAAAAGAAAATGTTCCAATTATTTTGGATCAAACCATTCTACTTTTCTTAGCTGAACCAAAAAGTTAATTATTTACTCATCTCTAATAAATATTTTTGAGGCCTATGTGCCAGCCCGACTATTCAGTATCTAAATTCTAAAACTCCTTGCAAAACTACAAGTACTAACCTTACTTCATACTATTTCTCCACAGGCATAAAGTTCACTTGCAGATTTTTTATGCCATAGTTGAAAAAATGAGACCTAGCAGAATCTGTTCTGTATTTATATTACATCAAAGTCCATGGAAAAAATTAGTGAAGATACAAAGTAAAAAAACCAGAAGGCTAATCAAAGCTGTTTTTTAAAAATATTAATACAATATTAAATGTGGAAACCTCTTTCATGTATAATGAAAGCAAAAGTAATGTAAATCTGAAAACTTCAGTGCTATGAATGTTATTGTAAGCATTTGTAATTTAAATGTTAGAGTAATATCACAAGCTTGTGCATTTTAGCAAAACTAGTTATATGCCGTGTTTCTGTCGTTGCTGATATGGGACTCTCAGGGCCAAAACATTGTCCCAAGCAAACTTTTAAAAAGCAGGTCTGTTTTTTTGTTTGTTTAGCAGAGCACATAACATTTCCACACATTTATCTCCTCCTAATACCTGCACCCTAAAACCAGGTGTCTTAATATAATTTTTGGATTTTCTGTGTTCATCATCACTTTAAACTTGTGCTATGTCCATCTGTGCTCCTTCAGTGAGGCAGAGACCACAGTAGGGTCCAATACTCTGTACTGTGACCTGTAGAATTATAATCAAATAAAGTATATGACTGAAGTCTTAAGTAGTGGAGAGCTGGCACTTGGGTACCTAATTACTAAATCCACTGCAAATCCAAACTCAAGTACCCAGTTATATTTAATGTTCCCTTAAATACTTGCAAACTTGGAGTATATTATTGCAGTAGATGGAATGTATTTCATATAAAAACCAGGAGGATAATGCCAGTGATTTATATTGCCTTTCTTTTGTTTTCAGGAGCTGGGTTTCAATGCCACTACAGAATACTGATATGCAACAATTGCTGAAGCTTGGGTCATCCTCAGATCACTCACAGAAGTGCTTTAGGAAGCATGACTTGATCTCCCTCTTGTGGAAAGAAATTGGAAGTGAACATTTGTGATTTGAAAAAAACAAAACCAACTAACAATTATGGCAACAGCAACTACGCCACCTGCTGCTGCATCCAACCTTCCAGGGAATGATGGAACTGACTTTCTGATCGTGCTACACTACAACTACACAGGAAAACTTACTCTCCGAGAAAAGGCAACAGATAGCATAGACTTTACAACTGTGGCATTTCTGATCATATGTAGCTTCATAGTCTTGGAGAACTTGATGGTGTTAATTGCCATATGGAAAAATAACAAATTTCATAATCGGATGTACTTTTTTATTGGCAATCTAGCGCTCTGTGATCTCCTCGCTGGAATTGTTTACAAAGTAAATATTCTTATGTCTGGCAAGAAAACTCTGAGTTTGTCCAGCACAATCTGGTTCATTAGGGAAGGCAGTATGTTTGTTGCCCTCGGAGCTTCTACTTTGAGCTTATTAGCCATAGCCATTGAGAGACACCTGACTATGATTAAAATGAGGCCTTACGATGCAAATAAAAAGTACAGGGTGTTTCTTCTAATTGGAACTTGTTGGCTTATCTCAGTTTCCCTGGGTGCCTTACCAATTCTTGGCTGGAACTGTATTGACAATTTGCCAGATTGCTCAACAATTTTGCCTCTGTATTCTAAGAAATACGTTGCCTTTTGCATAAGTATCTTTATAGCCATTTTGGTGGCTATTGTTATTCTTTATGCACGTATTTACATACTGGTAAAATCCAGTAGCCGTAATGTCACTAATCATAATAACTCAGAGAGATCTATGGCTCTGCTTAGGACAGTTGTGATTGTAGTCGGCGTTTTCATTGCCTGTTGGTCTCCATTATTCATTCTGTTGCTCATAGATGTCGCCTGCAAAGTAAAACAGTGTGCCATTTTGTATGCAGCTGACTGGTTTATTGTCTTGGCTGTCCTCAATTCTGCAATGAATCCTATCATCTACACTTTGGCCAGTAAAGAAATGCGCCGGGCTTTCTTCCGTCTTGTTTGTGGCTGTCTAGTGAAGAGCAACGTGGCTAGATCTTTACCTATTCAGCACACCCCTGATCAAAGTCGGAGTAAGTCTAGCAGTAGCAATACCCAGAAGCCAAAGGAGGATTTTCCACAGATTAATGTTCCCCCATGTATTAATGAAAAAACTGAATCTTCTTTTCACAATGGAAAGTTTTGCAAATAAAAGACTTTGCAAGTCAAATACTCATCTACAGCATTTTGGATGAAATTACAGAGTTTATCAATTTTCAAGCACTTAAATCATAGGGAAAAACACTAACCACTTATTTAACTTTGAGTACCTATTTATCATACAAATCAGCTTGTTTTGGATATTAATTTGGTAAAAGATCTGACTCAGGAAAACTCTATATAGTAGCCAGAGCCCTTGTATGTGTAAAGTCCTTGTATGTGTAAAGATGGCATATATCGTATGGATGTGTTTGGCACAGTCTAACTTTACAATGCATTTAGCTCACCTGTACGAAACATCAACATTCATTAAGCACTATGGGCAATGAAAAAATCACCCTGCTTATTGTTAAATTGGACACAGATTAATTACATTATCCAATGTGTGTTATAATTCTGTACATGTATCTTGCTGTTTATTTTAATGGTCTTACATATATGTAGTATAAATAACTGTATATTTGTACATTCCTTTCTTAAATAGTCATTTTATAGCAAAAGTTTACATTATACTACACATAATATTATACTATATAATGTAATATAACAGATTATACAAATATGTAGCTTAATTTCAAATAGTATGTTTGAAAATGTATGAAGAAATCTGATCTGAAAGGACAAGCTAAATATGCAGTATTAACTGAGTAGTTTGTCTTACAACCATTACCACAAGTCCTCAACTTTAAATGCAACAGGCACAACTCTTGCCCCGTAACTAAATTTAAAGCAAATAGTGGTAAATAACCATTAGCATTAAGTAGGTTTGTTATTTAAAGTAATTAAAATGTGACTCAGTAGGACACATATAGCAAGTGTATGTTCTTTTACTATGTCTTTACTATTTGCAGTGTTTAAAAATATGTGAAACCTGTGTAAGTATGTATACCTTGTAAATGCACTACATGAACTAACATTCTCCCACTGCAAAGCTAAGAAGACATAATTTCAAATGACAGTAGACAACAAGATCCTCACAGAACTTGTGGAATTTCCTCAGGAGCTACTACAACGTGGAGCTTTATTAGGTCTTTCTGGGGACAGGTCCAGCCAATGTAACACTGTTCCTGCAGAATCATGTTACAAGATGGAAAATACGAAATAGCAAGACCACACAGAAGGAAAGTAATCCATGCACAATTATTCCTTCTTCTGTATCTGGAATTACTGTTCTGAAATCCTCTGGATTTGGAAAGCCTTGCTTTGTCCACACTCCTTGGTATCCCATAACCCCTTCAATGAAGAATTCTACAGGAGACTTCAGGGCACAGCTTTGCGGAGGGTTTCCCTACCATCCTTACTCTCTTCAAGTGTATTCTCCATCAGATGGGGCAGCATGGCTCACTGTGTTCAACATTTGCTTAATATTATGGTATGAGTTGGCATAAATCTACTGAAAGCAATTTAGCATGGGAGATTTATTCACAGGCTGAGAACCTGGCTAATGATTGTTTTGTGAATTGTACTTTTCAGGCTCAGATTCTCAAAGGAGCCTAAGTGTGTTAGCTGTTCCAAGTCTAATGCTCATTATCTTGCAAGCACCTAACTTCCATAGGCCCCTTTAAAAAATCCCAACTTAAATTTCTCAAACTAAGGGGGAAAAAGCATATGATTTTTTATTTACAACTTATAAAAATGGTCCTTATTTTTTCTCTTATCTTAATCATGTAAAGCATCTACATCAAAGAATATTTCCAAGTATCTACAGTGTATAAATCATGTAAGGTCTGGAAAAAGCTTTTCTAAATATACTGTTTTACATTTTGATTATTTTTTCAAGGCAAGAGTCTACTTGTAAATAGGTCAGGAGTGTCCCTTTGATTTTTGTAAAGAGAAATAGCTGAATTTTCAACAATTGTGAATGATACAAGTAACTATCAAGTGTCTTACACAAAATAGAGACTGCCCCAAGCACTAAATAGTAATTTAGACACTATATGGAAAGAAAGTCTAGCAAAGCTGAACTAGAAAACATGTGTCATAATATGGGAGACGAGCTGTGGATACGAATTGAGTCAAAATGTCTGATTCACATCTGTATTTGTGCTGTAAATGGAACTACTTACATAGTGGTGCTGTGGTTTCATTCTTTAGACTTTAGAGTGATATTTCGATATACTTTGCAGCCTGGAGAGCTTTCCTGAAACAAGAGTCTTTGAAAAATACTTGCTAAAATTCCGGTGTTCTCTGTTCTTCTAAATGTTTGCTTTGATTAAATGATCAGTCCTTCCAAAAGGTTGGAGTTCCAGGTCTCGTAGATGTGAAGGTCTTCAACAGCACAAGTTCCCTTAGCTTTGGGGCAAACATGGCTGAACCTATCCTGTGCCTCAACTTAAAGATGTTACTTATGTTTCCCATACCAAGACTGTAATAAAAAGAAAAATCTGTATTAACCAAGGCCCAAACACATGTCCATAAACATGACTTTTAGGATGCAGGTCCTACTCTTGAATGCTGTTGCAGTTGGCCCAAGGTACAAGCAACTGTTTGGAGCCTCATGGTTCTGCAGCTCTGTCCCTTACCCCAAACTCTCTCTTTCCTTCTGACAGTGGATTCAAAGGCAGAGCAAGCTTGCTACTGAAGTTCTTTCTAGCAGCATAGCCCAACACTCATTTTAGAGTTTTTACTATGTTTCTGCGCTCTGGATGAACAATTGATACATGAAGCCGTGACACACAAATTCACAAAACCAGCTCCACCCCTCATGGACATTGAGGACACTGCCCATTACAGAACTACTGTAGAAGGGGAAGCAGGACTACAGAAGACATCATGGGGGTGCAAACAGTATGGACTGGGTGCAGAGAAAGCCAAAAGATTGGCAGTGATGGAGAGTACATATGCATGGGAGGATACTCCAGCCTTGAAGCTGGAACAAGTGTTTGGCTAGAACTCCATCCCTCTTCCCCTTCCCAATGCCATCCCTGAAATATGTGAGAATGTTTTAGAATGAAGATCAAAGAACTAGGTTATCCATTAGGCCACAAGTAGATCAAAATCAGTCTCTTGAACTGTAAATGATTTGTCTTATACAGAGAAAAAGCTACAAAACAAATATGTTTTGATAGTGTTGAGTTGACATTGTAGCTGTGGTGGTCCAGGAAATATGAGGCAAGAATTTTTGTGAGTGATATTTTTAGCGGACCAACTATATGGTTGGGATAGACTTAGACAAGCTTTTGAATATACTGCATTCTTCGTCAGGTCTGTGCCTGTTTTTTTCATCAAACATGAAGAAAAATTAATTGCATTCAAAAGCTTGTCTAAATCCATCCCAGTCATTCAATTGGTCCAATAAAAAGGTATCATTCACAAAAATCCTTGCTTCACATACAAAACAAACACACATTTGTCTAGTGTTATTTCATGAACTGGAGTCTTTATTTTTATTCGGGACTGCAGAAGAAATGCAAAAGAAACCACCTAAGGAAAAAGAGCTTTCGTAAGAGTCTTTATTGCCAACAGTCTTACAGATTTACAGTATTTTAAATTATTAAGTACCATAGTCATTTTACAAAACTTTTTTCTTTATATCCCAGACTTTGGAACCAGTTATGTAGCAGTCACTCTCAAAGAGTGTAACAAGGTCCTGTTTTGAGTAGAAAACCTACAGCTAGATTATAAATGTCATGCCTGAAAGCACAGTCTATAAAACAAAAATTAACTACGTGCCATAAGCTCTGATCCCACTGTGTTGAAGTCAAAGGTAGGTAGGCTTTCCTTCAAACAGTGGGAGCAGGCTTAGACTCATAATACTTAGGATAAATGCTGGAAGGGTTTGCTACATAGTTGGAAATGTAAACTGCTATACCACAGGAAAGGCACAATTCCAATAACCGATTTTAATTAGAAATGCAGCATTGGCTAAAAGTTTGTCATCTGTCAATGGTGGTGATGGTATTGAAAATAAATGCTAGGCATAAAACTCCATTGGCTACCACAAAAGCCAGAAAGTCAGGATTCTTAGAATTGCTGTTTAGCTCCCACTGAGGTGAATTACATTAGGTAAGCCTTGGAATAATGGCATTTAACTTCAGGGAGACATGATTTACATAGATGTAATTCATAGCATATTTTAGTCAATTGTGGTTTCAGCCTCTATCAGGAACTGGGGCAGCCCCTTCTGGGGAATGGGCTAGATCACTGGTTCTCAAAACTTTTTAGACTCAAGGTAACCCTCATTAGACTCAACGTACCCCTTCTTAGACTCGAGGCACCGCTCAAAAAATGCCAGCTTAGTTTTCACTCATTTTTTGACTATGGGAAAATACTACAGCAATTTTTCTATTGGAAAAAAACTCAGAACTACCAAAACAGGTGAGCTTTAAAAAAATGAATTCTTATTTAAAATCATTGGGTTTATCATGTTGCACACCTAATGGTGCTAATGTGTGGCATCCTGTGGCACTCCTGAAGGGATCTCAAGGAACCCCAAGTTGCCACAGCATCCTGGTTGCAAATCACTAAACTAGACTCAGTAGGTTTTTCCCTAAAAATTTTGCCTATATTGTTTGTCCTGCCACAGAATGAGCCATACTGTGGGGCCTGATCACAAACATATCAACCCATTGGTATTTCCACCAGGCCAGGGTCTTTCATACAGAGTTCCACTACCTCTGTGAAGCTCCCGGACCCCTCCATCTATCTGTCAGCAGAGTTGCAAGGGGCCTCCTTGCCCATAGTGATTTCTGACATCTCCTTAAAGGGGGATCCTCACTGAGAAATCTTTGCAGGAAAGGTATTGTCTTTCTCTGATTATTCCTCTGGGACCAAAGGAAGACTGAGTTAAAGAACATTAGTCCAATCCTGTCTCCCTTTAACATGGAGCTATCCATTCCCCTCTCCCCAGCACATTCAGTTGCCAACCCAGTATCAAGAGCATTATTGAGTGCAGGACGAGAATGCTGCTGCAGAATTGGGCTAGCCCTACCTTTGCATGCGGGGGATAATTCCTCTTACAGATCAAGGTATAATTTGGCTGGAGTCAGGACCTACTTTTGCATTGCAAAAATGGTATTTGGCAAAACTGCATTCATGACTTTGATTCCTTCTTGGTCTCTTGTAAACCAAAAGTGTTTCTGTGGAAATAAATGGAGCTACTCTGCTGTAAAACCAACACAGCTGAGTTCAAACTCCCTTCCATGTTATTTGGTCCTAGTACCACTGTAGTCTAAAGTTGCAAATAAATGTTGCCCTTTGTGCCTCCATAACCTTTTTTATGGTGCCCCAAAGGGAAAGCAATTTGATGCCTATACCATTTCTCATACCACAAATACCCAAATTTGTGGCCTCGATAAAAGGTGGTAATAGTTTCTGCTGCTTTATTGAGACCGATGTCTGTTGGCTTTATTGTGAGAGTACCAGCAACTCAGGGCTTGAGGGGCCTAGTCTTTGTGGGAATCTCTGGGCCATGTCTGGGGAGCATGTTGGCCATTGTTGGCCATTGTCCACAGCATCAACAGGTGGGCCAATGGGCCAATGTGTTTCAGCCAGCAAAGTGGATCAGCACAGCTGATCAACTTCATTTGCTGATGTCTATTTCTAGCATTGCTTACGTGTGGTGATCATTTCATTCTCTCCTGTAATTTTTGCATAAATTGCAAATATGAAAAAAGTGCAACGTTAACTTCTAATCCAACTGCCGGTACTAAAGAATTTCCTAAGAGACAATTTGCTTCTGTAATCAAAGTGGTCACTATTGATGGACTGACAAAAACATGGCATAGAGTATTTCATAATAGATTTCATTCTGGATTCAAAAAAGTTACAGAGAAAATAAATTCTCACAATATTTCAACACACCACTTGTTTTTCCAAAAAAGTACTTTGTGTACAATGCTCAGTCAAAATTATTTCTAAAAAGTAATAAATATCTTGTTAATAAATATTGAAGGTACATTTGAATTTTCTGCAGCAAATGTTCACCTTTTCATATGACTTAAGGAAACACATTTATCTTACAAAAAACAAATTTGGTTTGTTTCAAGACTGAGGATTGGATGATAGCACTGTACTTGGAACAGAAAATGTCATCACACAAATACAGTCACAGAGGAGAAAAGTATTTCACACACTATCTATGGGCTTCTTTTTCTTTAACTTGAAATGTACTTTCATTGGTTTATAATGAATATTTTCTGGATGGTGATTCTTACCTCACTGAGAAGAGAGGAGAACTGGGTAGATAAAGCTGTCAAATTTACCCTTCAAATAGATGTTCATGTCATGGATGAGCAAATTTAAAATTCAGCCACTTAATTTCTAATTCTTTAAGGTTATCCCGATTAACTGAGTCCATTATACCTTCAGAAAGCTGTGTAGCAAAACAGGAGAGTAATTTAGAGCCTTGTGACCCATTTTCAAAGCCCTTTTTGCTAGTCAAGCTAGTGGGCTTTGCAATGTATTGCTTCCTGTACAAGCCTCTAGTTCCAAACTTTATCTTCTTTAGTGGGGAAAAAAATGTTTTCCAATTTTTTTTCTTAGTGGAAACCCTAGAGCAGCTTATGTTATCAGAGGATGAAATTCACCTTGTGCAGAGGAGCAGTGCATATGTCTCATAAGCAAATGGATTTTAGGTGGAGTGCAAACCTCATGCAATCCCTATGGACAGGGTTTAATTTGACTCAGAGTGCATCAACCAAAAACAGCAAATATGCAACTTAATGAAGAATGCACCTACACTGATCTGCAACATGTGGTGCTGTCAGTTGCCTCAAATAGCTACATGAACAAAAATCTGAAACCTAGATTTATATCTCTATGCAATAGCATTCTCAAGTTGCAAAGGCCTGGTATAAATCTACAAGTTTCCTGAAGGCTGTGAATCTGTGCCAGCTCTGAAATGGTGCATTCTTACTTACAAATGTATAAATTCTATTGTGAATAAATTATACCTGGCATCTGGTACCTTAACTGCCAGCAATTATTTTATAATGGTATAAATGTTTATTAATTCCCATCTCATAACCATACAATGTGGAGCATGGGGACTATCATACTAAGAAACTTGAGACTGCTATTCCCCAAGGGAAAGAAAAAACTAATAAGCCCCTGGTACAGAACATTTAAAGTGGCAGGTGACACCTGCCAGATTTCTAGGAAAGCTATTATAGCGACTTCTTGCCCCACTCATTTTCTACTCATTCCAACAGCTCAATCCTGCATTCCTTGTGCATGCCTATGTTGAATTTTCACATAGAAAAATCTCAAGAAAGGAATACAAATCTGTAAAATGGCATGATGAGATACTAACAGTTTTCTTTTGATGCAACTCTCAGAGAAAAAAGACTGAGGGCTGGGGAAGAATGGGAAAAAAAGAAGCATCAGCCTCTATATCTAGGGCTTCACTCCGTCAGCTATGTTATCATTTTCTGTTTCCCACAAGGCTGCTCAAACAAGCCACAGAGAGCTTGCTACCTGAAGCAGCAGCAGCTCCTATCAGTGGTATCTGTAGGGACTGAAGAACATCATGCTTCACCATGAAGCTGTTGTATAGCTGCATTCCTATATGTGATACAGGGAGTTGAATTGGGGCTTTAGGAACTTCCCCAGACAAAGAAGCAACCCACCATGGAGGCTGGTTCTCTTCCTTTTCCTAGGAGCAGTCTGGGTCCCCTAATGCTGCTTCACTGAAGAAGGATACAGGAATCTTTACTGAAGCAGAGCTTCTATTGAAATCAGTAACTAATATATCAGAACCCAAATGCTTCACAGGATTAGGTTCCTTAGCCCCCTGTAAAGATGAGGGTTTATAATGAGCCAGGGATATACATAACCAAAGAAATAGGTGCATGTGATCTATCCAGCTGTTTGCTGAAGCTTTTACTCCAAGGAACACTTCTTCTCCAGTCAGCTGTATAGGACAGCTGGTGAGTGCCAGCTGAGTGGGGAAGCACTACCCTTTGAAGTAAAAGCCCATAGCAAATATTGGAGAGGCTTAATGTGGCAACCCACTGGGAATTCAGCAGAGTGAGAGCCCTTCAAGTCCTGCCATGTCATTTTTATTTCTTTGCTTTATGCCCCTGCCATTTTAAAGTTTCACATTTTAAAAATTTGCTCCAAATTTCTAAAGCAACTGAAACATTTGATTGAAATGCTGGAGAGAGATCTGAAATTCAGCTGTCAGAATTAGTGAAGCCAGCTTCACCGACAACCTTATTTCTATTACATACCTACAGTGCAATTAATCTAAAGCATTTAATTCAGTATTTTAGTAGCATAGATTTAATGCAATGCCTAGTGCACAGGATTCAAATGATCGTAATATAAACAAAAGTCACTTTGAAGGGGAGATTTAGGTTTCTTAAACATAACATTTGATTTTATGCAGCGAGGAAGTGTGCTCTGGTAAGGTATGGAAATTTCCTACATACTAAATTACCAACCCACAATGAAGAAATTGTGGACATTCCAGTGTTACTAGCTCTTGTGAGTTTATCATGAGATCCATAAATGCATTTCTTCATAAAGTGCCAGTTCCTGGAGTCATGAGATTATGTGAAACTTCCTTCTTTTATTTTATGAACCATAAAGGCCAGATCCAAAAAATAATTTAGGTAGGGTTACTATATTTCCAGTTCCAAAACAGAAGACACCTGTCAGGGAGACACCTCAATCCCAACCCACAGCCCCCTAACCCTGCCAGTGCCCTTCATTCCCATACTTCAACCCCCTGTCCCTGCTGCTGCCCCTCACTCCAAACCCTCAGACCCCTGACTTTGCCAGTGCCCCTACATCTCAACCCACAGTTCCCTACCCACCAGGCCATGCTGGTGCCCCTCATTCCCAACTCACAGCCCCTTGGCACTGCCAGTGCCCCACAAGTCCCCTGCCTCCCCTGTGCCCTCACTCCCAAGCCACACCCCCCCAGCCCTGCCAGAGGAGACCCCAGTTGCCCCCATCTCAACCAAGCCAGAGCGCAGTGACTCCAATTTATGCGGGCAGTGATGGAGCAACTTTGGCCCCAGTGCAGGCTGGAGGGAAAAGGAAGGGAGGCCTGTGACTCCCGCTGCCCTGGACTGGGGCTCCAGCACTGTACCAGGTGGCCTGGCCATGCCCTCGCTCCCCTTCCAGACAGTGTCTTCTGGCCACTCCACCCCTGTGAGGCTGTGCACTGGCCCCAGTGGCACTGGCCCAGCCATGAAGTTCCTCACCACCCCCAAAGGGCCCTCCTGACCACTTCACTCTCACACCCTGCCACACACACACACACACAGAGCCCTGGCACCCCCTATTCACCTCCCCCCAGACAGTCCCCAAGCCCTGACCCTCCAACCTCCACTCCCCACAGACTTACCTGCATCCAGCTGTTGAGGTTGCTCCCACCACCCTACCTGGATGCATGCCAGCCACGTGCACATGCACACACATTCACACATGGTGCCCCCTGCCTCCAATTGCCCACCCCCCCACTCTCACCAGTGGAGCAGAGAAAAATTCTGGACATTTGTTCAGCCTTCAAAAAAACACCTGGACAGAGCTGGAGGATCCAAAAAAAGAACATGTCCGGGAAAACCTGGATTCCAGCATTCACCTCCAATTTACTTAATCAATGGGATTTTAGGCACCTAAATAGGATTTAGGTACCTCCATAAAGTTCCATAGCAAATCACTCACTGTTTCTAATGGCAACAAGATCAGACCCTGAACTTATAGATTTATAGCCTTGCTGTATAATTTTTCATGCACAGTACCAAATCCATCAGAGCAGCAACCAAAGCAGCAGGGACTGGAAAGGTAGCTTTGAATGGTCTTTATGCCCTTCCTTTCCCCCCCAAATATCCTGGAGTCAAATGGAAGTTGATTTGATTCCCAGTCATTTTAAAAGCCTCAGAGGCATGATATCCACTACAGTCCAGGCCTTAGGGTCTAGCTAGCAACATGGCTTCACCACAGCCGAGAGACACAGCATCTACTTGCACTACCTCTAGTAATTCCCTTTACCACAGTTCCACATCACCAGGTGACATCCTGAGCCAGGTCGATATGATGGGTTTTCAGCTACTTTCTGCTGTCAGAACATAAGGTAACATAAGGTAAAAATGATATTGGTGTGTAATTACAATTGCAGAGTTACAATAGCTAAGAACTGAACTAAGGGTAGGGGATTTTACATGGTAGCAGATTGGTTGGTAGTTTGTTAAGACTACAGATGGTAAATTCAGAAAAAAAATTTTTTTTTTTTACAAATTTATTTCAATACATTTGAAATGCATTCATTCATGCACTCATCTCCCATCACTCCTTTTAGGCCCAGATTGTTCAAACAAAACAAAACATTGTTTGTTATGAAATCCTATTTTCTGACAGGAGAATTTGTATCACAAATCAATGGCAAAAATACGACATTCCTTTACTGAAAGACAATAAAAATGGAACCACAGGCAGAAGGCATAGGCTGTACCAGGCCATGCCTAGGGCCTCATAAAAAGATACAATGAGGTCACATTTTCAATTTTTGGGGGAGGTGAGGTTAGCAAAAAAAAAAAGAAAAAAAGCATAAAACATGACCTCGATGTAAACAGTACTGGTCTGAACATGCAGATAGTCTAGAATAATAGGTCTGAGAGGCATGGCCTGTCAGAAAGAGGGTGGTGTCACATGTCCAACTTAACACTTGCTAATTTAGTGCATTTAAAATGCAAGCAAACACACATTCAAGCAGGAGCAATTTAGCTCCTGTTAAGAACCCTTGTGACATTACAAAGTTGTATCCCTTTCAGGCAAAAGTTATCTCCTAACACCTATAAACTTTAACCGGGTCACTACAATCCAATGATTTGCAACTGTTGCGAGTGAACGTGTGACAAGGCATGTTCTGCTAGGGCGCACAGTGGCAGGTCTTTGCCACTGGACAGGGTCATGGGATGCTCCACGCAGGCTGTACTGAGAGCCCTAGATTGCCTTGTTTCCGAGTCTTCTTCCACAAGACAACCACACTCAAAAAAGCAAAACAGAGGTACCTAAAGTTACTGCACAGTAGCGCAGGCACATGGTTATTTAGTGATGCTTACTGCGCATTAGCCTAATAACACTGCACAGTAGGCTATTAGCTCAGTTTTTGCCATGACACGCTACTGCACAGTGTTATTAGGCCAATGCACAGTAAGCGTCTTGTGTAGATGCGCCCTTTGAGAACTAAAATTAGCTCTCCTTAAGTCGTAAGCAAAAGCTAAGGTCCTCTCCAAAAAGCAAAACTAATTCATGGATTTACTCTTTGTGTGTGTGTGTGTGTGTGTGTGTGTGTCTGTGTGTGTGTGTGTGTGTGTTAGACGGCTTTTCATTGTACATATCTCAATACCAAGAGCTACTGAACTATTTGCCAAAAATGCATCACCAATACGCATGTATTTTTCCAAAGTGGACATTAAAAACAACCAATACATTTATTAAAAATATCATTTCCTAAAGGCCAACTTTAAACTGCATCTCAGATAGAGGCACCTAAAAATTAAGTAAATCAAAGTTGGGTCTTTTACATGGATTAACATTCTAAGGTTTGATATTTTGTGATTATTCTATTTTTTTAAATTTCAACTGTGTCTCTGACCAGCTGCGTGCATCTTTCACTAAACACATTAAAAAAACAAGCAATTGGAACCCACTTAATCAATATATAACATCTCACAAGTGACTGGCAGTCACTGCACAATTTTTTTTTATCACAACAAGTGAACTACTTGTAAATAATTTAATTTGATTTAATTAGATTTAATAAATAAAAGCTGCAGAATAGTGTTATATTATTGTTAGAAAAATTAAATGCATACATCTCAAACACACAGCGATCACACTAAGTCATTGTCAAAGTAAATTACAAACATCTTGAGTAGCATCATATAAGAATTGAAACAACATCAGAAAGATAAAATGCTTTTGAAATCAGTGACACTAACTAATGCTTTTAAAAACTGTTTCACACTAAATTTCCATGTTGGAATACTAGCTCTGAATTCAGTCCCCTCTTCTGGTATTTAATCAATGTAATCCACTTGTTTTCTCCCCATAATTGTGCTTATTAGATAAAACTACAAATATGACTTCCAATATTAGATTTCTCAAGGAAATGAGATCATTGAATTCTATTTTTATCTGAACAATCACAATTGGCATCTTTTCCAATTAAAAACACATGGCACAGAACATTTGTTCCATACCTTCAACAGACTGACTTGAAAAATATAAATATATACTGTATTTATATATAATGCATGTATGTACACTATCAATATTCACATTAAGGAATCGGAACAATTTTATTGAAATTACATTTTAAGAAAGCCTTCTGTCTGTGTTTTCAATCAGACTTCATGTCTGAGTAGAGCAGTAAGAATTTTCAAGTGGAACCATATGGGATGGCGCTTCTTAAACCTAAAGGGAACATACTGGTGAGATATACATATATATATTTATGTATGCATTTTTAATGTACGTGGTTTGCAGTATCCACTGGTTATAGCTTACAGGGTACAAAAGCTGAAAGTGTCATAACGCATCATTGCTTCCTCTCAACTGGTTGCTGGAGGCAGAGCTCACTCCCAGCGGAGACTATTGGCAAATTGTTCTCAAGATGATGGTTGATGAGATGACTTATGCTGTCAAATATACGGTCTTTAGTACGAACCTTAAAAGAAGAGGATAAAACAGCATACGTTAAACAAAGACCAAAAACATTTCTTTCCTTCAACCTTTTGCTAATATTCTTTGGAATTAAAACGAAATATTTTCCTTGCATCTCTTTTACTCCATATTTTTGATGACAAGTTTGTGCCTTTTTCCATCAAAGTCAACGGACATTTTGCTGCCCCCCAAATTAACTGTTTTCCCATCTTGTCTCCAGACTTCTATTTTGCCTGCTATATTTGGAGAAAACTTCACCATCTTTACTGAGGCTGAATAGGCCCTGTAAAAAAAATTCCATTAAAACCTTTTTTTCCCCCCAATGTAAATTTGGGCTTTAATGAAACTTTTCTCTTTTTCTTTTGCTTTTTCTTTTTTTAAGTTTCTGCTTTCCTCAAACATTTCCCATTACCACTGAAAAGCCAAAACCCTGAAATCCAAACATTTTACACAAAGCTCTACATTTACTTGAACATTTTAGCAACAAGCAGCTTGTGTCCCAAATTTTGGGAGACTTCAGTTACTTTTAACAAACTGAAACAGTGAAACCTCAATATTTTATGCTGGACATATAGAATTTTTGGTTTTGTCAATTTTTTTCGATGAAACAAAACAAACTAAAAAATGCTGACCAGCTTCAGTCTGAGCAGACTGAGTGACATATCACCCCTTCAGGATCCTCTTTGATTTCAACAGGGCTATTTACAGAATAAGGAGATGTGTAGGAGCCACTGTATTCATTCACCTGCATCTTTGTGCTTCTTTCCATTCTATATCTCTTGCCTGATATATATACAATATCCTCCATAATTTCTTCCTGAAAAGCCACTTAGCTCCAGAGAAGCATTCCAAATACAAAACCATATTTTGTATTTATCTCCATGTTCGTTCTGTACTGTATCATACCCACTTTGTCCCTTTGGGCTTAAACATCTTCATAAAAAAGGAATCTGCTATTTGTCTAGCATGTTTCCAGAATTCTGTACTAGTATCTTATTATATAAATGATCACAACCAAAACCAACTGGATGTAGAGAACATTAAGTTTACAAAGTCAAGCACTCTGAAGTTAGACAATGCCAAAACTAAAGTAGCTTTTGTATGCATATATTATGATTCAGACTTTAATTATATGGTCATATGCTATTATTCCTAAAGGATCCCTCCCTTATTTGTTTGAACTGTTTTTTTCCCTCAAAGACTTATAATTTTCAGATTTTCACCCCCGCCCGACACAAAGTCCCTCTCCTGCCCAATATCAAGACCTTGTTCCACAGAAAGAAGTCTTACAGCTTCTTGACAAACAGTCTTTTAAGAATTTCTTTGACAATGGCAGAAACAACCCAGGTCTCAAACAATCTTTTCCTTGAGAAATGGAAGAATATTTTTTGATGAAACTTTTCAAAAATAATTTCATTCTGAGGCATACACCAAACCTGGAAAATTCCTCCCAGAATGGCTCTGGGGGGGATTAGGGTACTGGGGGGCAGGCAGGGTCCATGGAGGGTTGCTGGGGTCTGGGAGGGTTTGGCAGGATCAGGGAGGTGGAGGGCCCTCTCTCCCCCACCCCCCGTGACTGGGGGCTCTGTATAGCCCTCAACCCCCCCACCAACAGACTAACGACCCCACCTCCCAGTGACCTAATCTTCCCCCATCCTGATGACCTCTCCCCCCACCTCAACTTACTTGCTCAGGTCCTGGCATTGGCAAACACTAGTAAAACTAGCACCAGGAGATGCTTGTGGGATGAAGGCTTTGGCAGGCTTGGTGGCGGGGAGGGGACACACTAGATGGTTTGCAGGGGGGCCATTGTCCATCTCGGGAGGAGGAGATGGGGACTAAAAATAGCCCAGTGTCAGACAGGGGGTAGGAAAAATGCAGCCCCAGGGCTTTCGCAGCCCTGGGAACTGTACAGAAGTTCAGAACAGTTCAGAACAGTTAGATTGGTCTAAAAATGAGTTGTTGTTGGGAGTGGGTTCAATTTGGTCGTGGAAATATTCTTTGAGGAGCAGGCGTCGGAAGAATTCTTCTAGTTCTCCACATTGAAGTATTTTATTAGGGTGTTTTTCTGGACAGAAATTTAGGCCTTTAGAAAGGACAGATTTTTCAGTTTTGGTAAGCGTGTGTGTGGAGAGATTGATAATATTTGTGGCTTTGTTGCTGCTTGCAGTTTCATCAAGTCTGAGGTTGGAAGGTCGTAAGGTGTTGGTGTTGTTGCCCGATGGTTGTTTTGTGGCTGGGGAGCTTGTTCTTGGAGTAATTTGTTCCATTTCTTCTTTTTATGTAGGATGAATGCTGTAGAAAGTTTTTCGTAGTCTCTTTGTATCTGCTGTATATTGTCAGGGAACATGCATGGATTTCTATCTTTTAAGTTGTTGTAGTGTATGACGATTTCCTTCCTGAGTTGGTCTCTTTTGGAGTAGAGTAGGTGAAGTAGATGATTTCTAATTTTCTGTGAAGTTCTTCTGCATAGTTGTGCAGCATATTTGGAGTTGTGTGTAGTAGTCAGGGGATTGTAGATGTTTAGTCCTCGGGGAATGAAGTTGTGTTTCTTGCAAAGGCTTAGAAAATATATGTCGCTGTTGAGTCTGGCTTCTTTCTTTTTCATGTTGTACAGTTTCCATTTCAGACGGCTGAATTCGATATCTTCCATGTTGCAGGGGTCAGAGCATGCATCTCAGAGCTTGGGCACAGCACAGCACAGCACAGAGACAGTGCAGACATGCACAAAGAAATGCAGACTGTGAAAAAATAGTCTTCCAAGGTTTGCAGTATGTTTGCATTTTGCTAGGCATGCTCATGACATGCTGTAAATGAGCTAACAGGTCACAAATTATAAGGCCAGCATTGTTAAGTGTAAATAGAACAATAGGCAAGCACTCTAATGAGAGTGAGTTTTTTAAGTGGTGTGTAACTTTTGATTAGCACCCCCTTGACTAAGCACAGTCCTTGAGACTATTAAGGGCTTTTATCATGACCAGCAAGCCAGAAAGCCAAGCTGACAGAGTACTGGAACAAGCCTGTCCTAGATGGACAGCCTTGCCAAACAGATGTGACCATTGACTCTTCCGAGTTGATAAGTGTGATCACATCCCACCTTTGAAGGATATGGTCAAGCTTCGCCCTAGTTTTATAAAGTGTTACAAACACAAATACCACCCAATGGGCATATCTACCCGTATGCATTTACTGCGCAGTAACTGAAATTACTGCACAATACGGGGGCACGTCTACACGTACATACCTGTACTGTGCAGTAATATGGTGATTTATGCTGGCTTGAGCATAAATTAGATACCTGCATGATGCAGGCAGCAAATTTATGCCCGATTAGTTACTGTGCAGTAACACACATATAGACACCTTACTGCACAGTAACACTGTGTGTGGACTGACTTGGGACTAACTTTAGTCCCAAATCAGTCCATACACAGTGTTAATGCACTTTAATGCCTGCACGTGTAGATGCTGGCCTATTCCTGCTTGCTGTGCAGTAAATTACACAGTAAATTTAAGCCAGCACACAAATATGTGTAGACATGCCCACTGAAATGCTGGTTCAGTGCTGGAGCCCTCTTTGGGTAGAATCAAGCCCAGTAGAGTTCATTTGCAAGACCCAGTCAATTAATGTCTGTGGAACATTGTGATGTCAATGGAGAGAATGTGCTCCAAGCCATGAGTGTTGTTGAGGGTAGGGAAAGCTGGTAATGCTAACACATCTGTATAGTAAACAACATCCTTTCAGTGCACTGCCCCAATGCCTAAAATAGGAAGGCTTTTTCTATGTGGACATCTGGAATCTGACATGAGTATGTGAGGTATGAAATATGCTTTATAATGTGCAAGGGAGGGAAGGGTATACACATGCTGAAAACTCTCCAGCTAGATAGCGACTTGGCTTAATGTCCTCTGTGTGGGCATAAGAAGCCACATCTCCTTCTGAAGGGGTTATCCTAGCCTTGAAGTCCTTAGGAGTTACTGCGCTTTGTAACAGGTGTGCTGGAAAGGTGATAAAAGGAACCTTGGCTCTACCGTCTATATTCACTGGACAGCCGAGCAGAACCAGTATGAGGGTGTGAGTGTTCCTCTTTGCTATTATAAGCACAGACCTGGGGTGTCAAACATGTGGCCTGTTTCTTCCAGCCTCTGGGGCTCCTAGTGGGCCCCGGACTTCAGGGCCAGGGCCAGGGTGGGATGAGACCTGCCACATAATTGGGGGCTATGGAGCCTCTTTGGAGGTGGCCTTTGGTGGCAGGGAGGCAAGCAGTGGCTATGGTTTTCAAACTGTATTCCGTTGAAGCCCAGCGTTCTGCGAGAGGTCATCAGCCTAAGGGTTATCATGAGTTTGAGACTTCTGTCACTGACCAATAGCAAACCATTACTCGTGTCCTCCCAAGCTAAAGATGAAGAAGAATATCCTTTTGAACTCAAAGACACATTATAATTGGGTTCACAAATGGAGGGAAGGGATGCAAGGAGTGCTGTCACAGGGAAAAGGAGTGGAAAGATGTGGGTTTATACTCTCTCCCTGTACCAGCCAGCAGAATTGCCTGGGCATGCAGGAGTGTATGCTCCTTTCCCTTAGTAGCATAGCACTGGCTATGTACTTCCTGTTCCAGAGTATAGCTGGCTCATTGCATCTCTGCACAAGCCAGATAACAGTCCCGTAAGGATACAATAGATCCCTACTATTGAAATCTCACAGCATCCCCTCTAAGACAATTATTTGTATGTTAAGTGAAGATAATGGCCTTCTTCAGGAATCACAAAATTGCTGGAAAACCTTCAGCCTGTAAGTAAAAGAGACATATCTCTAGTTAACACACAGTTCTGCTAGCTTGTTGAAAATGACTGAACACAAGTAGTCAGAGACTACTGCAGCTGTAAAAAACAGCCATTAAAATATTCCTTCACTGCCCTCCTGTGGCCAATACAATTACAGCATGGGCAACAATCCTCTCTAGTCAAAGCTTTGTGATCTCTAGACCAATGGTTCTCAACCTTTTTAGATTCAAGGCACCCCTCCATAACTTTTTTCCACTGAGCTGCACCCCATATAAAATGAATTTATTCTTATAGGGCCAGTAAGGAAGAACAGCCAGCAGGGAAGAGCTTGCCCTTATCTTCTCACTGGAATCTGCATATCTTGCTTAGCTCCTCTCTCCCTATGACACTCTTTAAAAGCTGTTGTGTTACCCTAGTTGGGAATCACTCCTCTAGACCCCAGATTTAACCTTAGTGACCTTATGCCAGTATCTCAGTTTAAGTCAGTTAGTGCAGCCAGACTTGGCCCCATGGATGTATATAACATGCATGCCAACATTTTTGTTGATACCTGACAACATTTTTGTCAGGTATCAGTTGCTCTGACACCTGCTTTTAAACTAGTCTCATATGGAGGAGTAGTGGGTTGGTTAGACACTAGTAATACACGACTGACATATATTGCAACACATGAGATACTTTGAGTCACCAAACTGAGATACATCAACAAACTCAATACAACAGCTGCAAAAATACCAAAGCCCAGTGTACTTGTCCAGCTCTGGTTTCTTTATGTGGCTCCACTGCTAGAAAGCCCAAGTCAGGAGGTCAGGAGGTCATAAAAGTGTCTTGTCAGAGTTGACCACTGCAGTACTTCTCCATTTCAACTTGAACTCAAGAAAAAATGACCTGAAGGTTGCCTTTACATGGAGAATTTCTGCAGCAGTTCTTAACCAGACATCATAAACTGAGGCTTAGGGTTAAGTGACAGACACTTTATACATGCCTCTGATAATAATTAAGCATTGACAAGGGTAATCTTCTGCTTTCCAGAATGCTATTTTACTGTCATTCAAAAGTCAATACTTACAGTTCCTTCTGGATCCACTAAAAGAAGATGCTTGGCTTGTCCGTTATGCATACCAGTCAGCACATAGGAACCTGGATTTGTAGTGCTTTTTCTGACCAAGAAGTCTCCACATTTCTTTAACAACTTTTCTGCTTCTTTCCTGCTCATCACTCCTTGATACCAAGGTTCTGTACTTAGGTCTTCCATCATAGTCCAGTGAGCTGCTCTGGATAAAAGAGGACTGGTACATTCAACTGAAGTTGCCTTATTCAACAGAGGCCCAGTAGTTTGATTCTTCAATGCATCTTCAAACGGTTCTGGTTAAAGAGACACGTGCAAATCATTCACATGAAAACTGAATTACAAAATAGTATAAATCCAGCCATTTTAATCCCCTTTTTTGTAATAGCTACTTCCATTTATCCTTAAGAAAAAACAAACATAGAAAATGTTTGTTCTACTTCTACTAATTTCTATAATGCATTAAGGATATAAATGACATGGCTCATAGAGGAGGGTATTAAAAACCAGAGTCTATTTGGACTTGATCTTTTAAAAGGGAATAATGGCAAAGATCATGTATTTATAGACACCTGGTATTTGCATGTGCCGGAAGGGTTCAGAACCCTCCTTTTGTCTTGCCACTTGCTTTGGGCAATTTAATCTTTAATATCTGGCACAGTCTGAATAGTCAAGCATATTGCACTGATATCTGCTGGAGGGGCACTTTGTGCCAGAAAGCTTATCTAACATGTCTCCCAACTGGACAGTTAGTCCAGCAAAGGATATAATCAAACAAACCTTTCTTTTTTTTTCAAAATACAGTTTTCTTTTAACAAGCATCCATCCTCCTGTTTAATCACTGTGATGAGCTCCTTATAAGTCTATATACTAGGGGATAATCTGCATTACCTAACCTGACCTTCATCCTAATGTAGATTAACAGATTTTACCTTATTTGAGATGATTGAGGGCAACCCTGTGGGAAATGCCTTTTTCTAAACCAAAAAGGGTTTGTCTAGACTAGGATTTAACCATGTGATGTTAGATGTTCTAGTAGTTTAATACAGAAAATGCAGGGCATACTTTAAAGTGTGCTAAACCAATCCATGTAAAGCCTAGGTCCCCCCACCAGATTTTAGTTTGATTGCCTAACACTTGTCAAAAACATACACTGCTTTGTTTACGTGAGACTTTAAAACCACATTAGTAGCTTGAATCACCCAATGTGGTTTCTGAAAAATCAGCAATGAGGTTGTAAGGCATTTGCATTACAGTTCTCATTTGGCACCTCATCAGCTCAGGAAAATGCAGCTTAATATCAATCTGGACTGGAAGAGTGGATGGATGCTGAGGCTGCAAGGCCTCTCTTCTTCTCATGGGCTTAATGGGGAATGAGTAGAAGGAAAAATTTCTTAGTCCTTATTTACACCAGGAAAAATCTCATGGCCAGAAACACATTAGTAATATGTAGTAACGAACAAAATGTCAAACAAGGCATAATACTTCATGGGATCATCCCTTGAATTAACCAAGACCAGCTAGATTGCTCAGGCTCCAGAAGCAGTCTAGCCATGGTAGCACAGAGCTGCATACAGGCTAATTTAACCTGCTTCTCAACAGGGTAAATCAGCTGGCACAGAGCTTCATGCATAGGCAAACTACTCCTGGTACATGAACTGGTTCATTTAAAGCTATCAGGTATCTCTCAACTGTACTTCAGTCTGCAGTAGAGATATCCCATTACATATTTTTACAATAACAAATCATGCTTAACATTGTGTTGGTTAACATATTTGCTAACAAGATGCTTTTTTTCCCAATGTAGACAATTTTTTAGTTGTGGACAGGGAGTACAGATGCACATGATTCCCATTCTCATGTGTGAAGATGGAATTATAATTCTGTACTTTTGGGGCGCATCCACATAAAATGCTTTATGCGAGATTAGAACAAATTACTGCCCAGTAAGCACCACCGTCTACACATGCAGGTGCTTACTGCGCAGTAATTTGCTCTAATCGCAAGTATATTTGCTATCTGTAAATGCAAGAAACAAAATTACTTGTGATTACTTATTGTGCTGTACAGCATATGTAGACAGCCAACAGGGAACAAACTTGTTCCCAGTCAGCCAGACAGCAGGGGATGGGAGATTGCTCCCTGCTCCCAGGAGTTGCCTGCTGCTGGGGCACCAGAGCCTAGGTAGAGACAATGTCCCTGTACCCCAGCAGCAAGGAAATCCTAGCCCCTGCTCCCCAATTGTGATCACGGAGCAGGGGCTGGGAAGATTGTTCCCAGCTCCTGCCAGGAGATAGCTGTTTCCTGACCCTGTGCTCCCTGCCAGCCCATGGTTCTAGCACCCAGGGGAAGCCTAGAGCTCCCCCTGGCCGCTTCAGGGGGCCAGTACAGGACCAGAGCGGGTGGGAACCGACTGCTGCTAGGAGCAGCAGATCTGCTTTAACATCTGTGCACATGTAGACACCTGGCCCTGGCTCCCCGACCAGGAACAGAGGGCTTGGAAAGAGCTACAGGGGAGGGGCATGACCTGACCCCCTGCCCCCATCCACCAGTGGGGCAGCTAGCAGTGATCATGAAGCAAAGGGCTGGGACCTGGTAGGGAATGTATAATAAATATCCAATAAAGACCAGATGCAACAAAGGAAGTGGTAGAGAGTGCACCCTGAGCTTGGGATGGGTCATACAGTCTATTTTGCCCTCCCAAAACCATCCTGCCAAAAGTTTTATGGCAACTGACACAAACAAGTTCCAACCAGCTCTGTTAGGAAAGTTCTGTGAATATTGATCCAAAGTAATTGTATAAATGTTCATTTACAAAAAATAATGCATGGTTGTTATAGCTTCAGCTAAATTAATTCAGTTAATTCAATTGAAATAAGTGAATGAAATAAGCCCTGTGCCAGCAATTGTTTAGAGATAGAAAAGAAGGCTAGTGTTAAACAAAATAACTCCCCTCTTGCCACTGCTAAATGTGCTGTGCTCACAGCTGTGTAGCACTAAGATCACTAGATACCAGTAAGTACAGTCCAAAAATATGTGATCAATATTTATGCCATTATTTGAAAAGAGAATAGTTGGGGGGGTTTTCATAGACTGTAGGGCTGGAAGGGACCTTGAAAGATCATCAGATCCAGCCCTCTGCACCAAGCAGGAAAGACAACTGGGGTAAAATGACCCCAGCAAAGTGACCATCCAGTCTAGTTATTATATTAATTTTGCTAACACTGACTTCAAAGCTGAAAAATAGGGCAAGATAGACTGTACGATCCATCCCAGGCATAGGATGCATTATTCAAAGGTCCAATGTCTCTACCATTTCCTTTATTGCATCTGGTCTTCATTGGATATTTATTATATATTCCCTACCATTCCAGCCCATCAGGAGGTGACGAGGAGCAGAGCCAAGTCTCTGCAAACTCCCACATTTGTGTGACCATCTGCACGGGTAGGTAGGATGCAGCAGCTCTGTTGAGCCTGCTTTCCCTCCCACTCTGCTACCCAGGATGTAAGGGAGTAAACAGGCCCCTTATTGCACAAGCCAAGCCTCCATCTGGTCTGTAGCAGGTGGTTGACACACACTAGTTTCAAAACTATCAGCACTCTTATTTTTTAACTCAAAAAATTACCATCATTAATTCAAACAGTTTTAGGAGTGAATAATTGGTGATTCTTTGGGGCCAAAATAACAGACTCATTATGCAGAATCTATATTTAGAAAAGAGATTTTAAAAGGAACTTACTCATATCAAACAGATCTTTTCTTGGACTGCTCTCTTTGGTACAGTCTGTTGTGGCATTGAACATGCTTTCAGCATCGGACTGAAGCGCCAGCAGAGCTTCCACATTTATATGCTGGGTGTTCACGTAAGCTGGTACCTCTCCTGCAGGGGTGAAATGGGATTTCCCTTCTGGCACACCGTAAATGTCCAGGGACCCTGGAAAATTCAAGATTCTTATCCCCAAGTCTTTCTCTAATTAGGCTTGTGAAAGAATAAAGCAGCATTGTTTAGAAAAATCTTAGAAGGGATTGATAACCAAACTGCAGATTCAACTTTGTATAGAAAGTTTGCAGCCATTTTTAGTGATGGAGAAAAGTGAATTTTAAACTAAATTTTTGCTCAAACTAAATACTATATTTGATTATAATCTTCAAAACTCATGTTGTGTTTGTTAGTTATTCAAGCCAAGGAACTGAAATAAAACCAGGTGACTCAGCTGTACAAGTAACATGGCATACTTTTCTTAAAATATCTGTAAAGCCACCACAAAGTCATCAAACGAGGAGAAGGCAATCAGGACTCATAGTAGAGATGATATCTTTTATTAGACCAACAAGATTTTTGCCAAAAAATTTTCTTTAACATTTTCTGAAGACATTTTCCAAAAAAAATTCAGCCATAAGCACATTTCAAAGAGCTATGCTTTTCTCATAAATACCTCACCAATAATAAAACCCAGAATTTTTAAGAATAAATTAATTACAAATAATTTGCTCAGCTCATCCGCGGGGACACACACATACACACACTCAGATGCACACACCCCTGAGTGTACATTTTCAGACATTACTACTGATATTGCTTCTATTTGGGGGAGCCAACATGAAACACCTGTATGAGGTCAGAGTTTCAAAAAGTACTGACTTCCTTTTTAGAAATCAGGTTCTTTTAAGGCCAGGTTGAGCTGCCAAAGATTAACATTTTGAAAACATAGGCTTTTCCATGCTTGTGTGTGTATGTGTTTTTATGCATGTCCAGATTTCATAATTACATTGGCTTTAGGTTTGCAGTGCTGTTTATCCAATGCCTTTCACAACCACACACTCTGAAATTCACCTTAAGGTGGAAGCAAACCTGCCAACTTAGTACAGTTCACTGCTGCAAGACCTATATGTAGCAGGCTCACACTGTGGGCCCACTGTGTCAACACAGATGCAACTACACAATTGGGGCCAATATGAGTAATATGATTATTATAAAATATTGCTCACCTTGTTTAAGAGGTGCATGAGGCCAGTCTTCACTGAATTTGTCTCCTAAGTGTCGACTCTGGTAGTACATTTGTTCTCTTCCTGCAGCTGTGGCAGACTATAGTGCACACACACAAAAACATGCTTCAGCAACCTTTTCCTTTAAACGGGTGTGCTGCAGTGTTAAGTAGTTCTGATGAATTCTCAGGATGTGTTCCACTTACACATGGCTTCTTTAAATTTCTTGTGGATGAAATTTTGATTGAACATTCTTTGTTGAGTGTGTTTGTGTTGAACTAGGTAAATACTTAGTGTGTGAGTACTTAACTCCTTTCTGTTTATATTAACCTCTGCCATCCTAAAAAGGCACATCAACTTCTCCAGTGTAGTCATCTTTACTTGAGCAAACTCTGACAGTATATTGATTTCAATGGATGTTTTACAGAAAACAGATGCTGGAATGCTCGAAAATTCAAGTGTCTCAATAGTTTTGAGTCACTGGTACCTAACGACTCTATGTTGAGGAGAAAGCTCTCTCCAGATAGCGTAAATCTGGGAATTAAACAGAGGTATACTAGCAATAGAACAATCTTTGGCTAGGATCTTGAAAGTTGTTCCGCACACAGACTAACTATGCTGCAGTCAAAGGTGTGACTGAAGTGATTATTCTCCTCTATTCAGCACTGGTGAGGCCACATCTTGGGTACTGTGTTCAGTTTTGGGTCCCACCACTACAAAAAGGATGTGGACAAATTGGAGAGAGTCCAGCAGAGGGTGACAAAAATGGTGAGAGGGCTGTGAGACATGACTTAGGAGGGAAGACTGGGGGAACAGGGCTTATTTAGTCTAAAGAGGAGACTGAGAGGAGACTTCATAGCAGTCTTCAACTACCTGAAGTGGAGTTTGAAAGAAGATGGAGCTAGACTGTTCTCAGTGGTGGCAGATGAGAGAACAAGGAGAAATGGTCTCAAGTTGCAGGAAGGGAAGTTTAGGTTAGATATTAGGAAGGATTTTCTCACTAGTAGTAAAACACTGAAACAGATGTGGCAGAAGCTCCATCCTTGGTGGGGTTTCAAAACCTGTCTGGACAAAGCTTTGGCTGAAATGATCTAGTTGGGGCTGGTCCTGCTTTGAGAAGGGTTTGGACTAAATGACCTCCTGCGGCCCCTTCCAACCCTAACTTTCTATGGTTCTATGAAGTTTATTTAGATATAGCCAAGCTAGCTAGAGCAGTATAACAGCAGTAACCCATGGGTTGCAGAAACCACCCAAGAACTTGGGTAAATACTTGCAGGCTAGTCCAAGCTGATCTCTGTTTTCCCATGGCTACGCTGGTTGCAACACCTGAGCTAGCTAACTAGAGCTAGCTCAGGTAGGTATACCTGACTGCAGCTAGAGCTTTGACTGTAGTGTTGACATACGGAGGCAAGTATTTTGACTTTTTCATTTTGACACCACCTGATTAGGGCAGCCTTCTTTTACCAGGCTGGGGAACTCCCTTCTCGCCAGTGGAGAGCCAGAAAAGGATCTTGGAGTCATTATTGATGCCAAAATGAACATGGGCCGACAGTGTGGGGACGCTGTCAGGAAGGCCAACCGTACCTTGTCATGCATCCATAGATGCATCCAAATCAGGTCCAAGGAGGTGATCCTCCCCCTCTATGCAACACTGGCCAGGCCGCAGTTGGAGTACTGCACCCAGTTCTGGGTGCCGCACTTCAGGAGGGATGTAGACAACATTGAGAGGGTCCAGAGGAGGGCCACCCGCATGATCATGGGTCAGCAGGGCAGGCCATATAAGGAGAGGCTAAGGGACTGGCTAAGGGACCTGAACCTGTTCAGCCTCCACAAGAGAAGGCTGAGGGGGGATCTAGTGGCCCATTACAAACTAGGCAAGGGGGACCAGCAGGAATTGGGAGAGTCCCTGTTCCCCCGAGCACTACCAGGAGTGACTAGAAATAATGGTCACAAGCTAGCAGAGGGTAGATTCAGGCTAGATATCAGGAGGCGCTACTTCACTGTCAGGGTGGCTAGGATCTGGAACCAACTTCCAAGTGGTGCTGGCTTCTACTCAGGGGGTCTTTAAAAGGAGACTGGATGAACACCTTGCCGGGGTTGTTTGACCCCAGTACTCTTTCCTGCCATGGCAGGGGGTCAGACTTGATGATCTGCTCAGGTCCCTTCCGACCCTACCAACTATGAAACTATGAAACCTGCTGAGGCCCACTAAAATCAATGGGGTTTCATTTAGTTGCAGGAAACTGTCCTTACAGATCAACTTAAAGAGCTATGGCTCTTTAGTCTATAAGCATTACCCTTGGATGTTGGTCTAAGAACAGCACAATTGAATCAGGAAGCAAATGGTATTTTTGCCCTCTTAACCATGTATACAGACAGTAACAGACAGAAGCTTTGGGCGCTGATTCGATTCAGAGGCGATTCGGCCCGATTCGGCGGCCAAATGTCCGAATCCAAATCAAATCAAATCAGGAGACCAATAAAAAGGCCTGAATCGATTTGAAGCTCTCCAAATTAGACCTGGACTCTGTGCCAGTAAGTAGGAGGTGGGGGAGGGAGCTGGCAGAGAGGTGAGGAACCATGGAGGGACCCGCACCAGGCCCCATCCCCTGCCTGCTCCCCCAGCCCCGCTGAGTGTCCACTTTCCCAGCCCCTCCCCCTGCATGGCTGCCCCACCCAGCCCCAGCTCCCAGTTCCTTTTGAAGAAAAAAATAAAAGCTCCCACTCACCAGCTGCTGTCAGGCAGGGGGCGATCCCCGCTGCCCCCCACTGCTCCATGCTGTGCGGGGGGCTCTGCTACGAGCCCCTATCCCCCACCCACTCTTTCAGTCCCATCAATAGCTTCCCTGCCAGGCCCCAGCTCCCAGTTCTTAAAAAAAAAAATCATAGCCACCAGGGCTTCTGGGAGCTCATAGCAGAGCCCCCCATGCAGCACGGGACAGTGGGAGGCAGCTGGAATCACTGCCCCCCACCCAGCAGCAGCTGGTGAGTGTGGGGCTTTTTTATTTTATTTTTTTAAGAGCCAGGACCTGGGGCTGGGAGAGCAGGTGGGGGATGGGGGCTCATGACAGATCCCCCAACACAGCACAGGGCAGTGGGGGGGCAGCAGGGATTGCCCTCCCCACCACTTGGCTGTAGCCTGTGAGTGCAGAATGTTTTTTTTTAAAAAGCCGGAAGACTGGGGCTGAGTGGGGCAGCCATTGTTGGGGCTGGAAGAGGGGGCGGGGGGTGGGGCCTGGT